TGAACACTTTGCAGATTCTGCAAGGTGTATGCAAACTTTTGACCAACTGTAAATGCTGCATTTATACATCTCTCCCGAAACATTGCAGCGTGTAAGCGATCGCTGGTGCTCTTAGCATCATAAAAAACTAATTCAAATTCTGAATGGATTAGCCAAGAAAGTGTGCAAAGCACGCTCCCTTTATACTAATAATGATAAAGCTGTCATTCATTTCAGTTTGTGATGTCATAAAGTTCCGTTAATGAAGCTCTACACTGCACAATGGATCTCTTATTAACAGCATGTTACACTTTGTTTGTTATAATGAGAGACTTGAGATAATGAAAGACAAAATTCTCTCAGTTTTGCTAAGAAAGAAAGAAATGCTGGATTCCTCATTCACATGTTGTATTTAATTCTGTCTATATTTTTTATTTTCTTAGGTTTTATCATCAATTTTAACTTATGATTGTAGCTAGTGTTGTTGCTGTGATAAATATGTGTTTGATTACAATTTTTAAGCTATTAGGTCAAACATTTAACCCAAACAAGATGGGACAAAAGCCTACAAAACTTCCCTTTTTGACCCATTGCTGGGTTGCCAAAATGACCCAAATTGGGTTGTTTTTAAGCCATGTGTAACAGCCTAAAATGTAAAATGATTAAATTATGACTTAAAGATGTTCAAACTCAAGTTTTGACAAAAACAAAGCTTTTTAAAAATGACGCTTATGGAACAGCAGAAATAAAGTGGTTACCCCTGTACACCAAGCAGCACTGCTCTTATAAACACTACATTATATGGTTCTATGAGGAATGTACCTAATGCCATAGATACTTTTTTGAAGATAGTCCCCCCCAGACCATATGACTATGAAGAATGACTCGAGTTCACTGCTCATGGTAATACATCTCTGGAGCAGATGTTTTAACAGTGATTTCACTGACCTGATGAACCTCAAAGCAGCAGTGAACTATAAGAAACATTAGCAACTTAAGAACAAGTTAAACATCCAAGTAATTACAGTAATATCTAAATCATAAATCAATAAAGATTTGTAATTACTACAGGTCACTTTTATTCTGTAAATGAGCGCATGCTTCACCAGGGTACTATGAAAAACTCTTTTACGTGAAAAACTCTTTCCACACTGAGGGCATGTGAACGGTTTCTCTCCGGTGTGAATTCTCATGTGTTCTTGCTTTACATGACAAGCTCTTTCCACACTGATGGCATGTATCATCATCATTCTCCTCTTTAATAAACTCCATCTTCACTATGTCACAGCTCATTGCTATGCAGTATGGAGGAACAGATCTGAAAAAAGGTAATTAAGCTATACATGACTGCATATTAGGGCTGAAATGATTAGTCAATATTATTGACAACAAAAAATTGTCAACAAAAATAGACTTTTGATGTCATATGACCAAATGTTAGGGCCTGCGGTTTGACCACAGTAGACCGCTGTAGCGAAAGACTGTAATTGGTCCCTCTCGGATGCACTCCAACAGAAGAAGACACTGTGTTTATGAGAAGGGCTGTGCGTTCCACTTCGTGAAGTGGACGAGGTTTTATAGACAGACCCCTTTTAAATTACTGCAGGGAGTCATATTTAGCTAACTTAGCTACTGTTAAAATTCTCCTACAAACTAATGTTCCTCTAACGTTAGTATTTGGTTCTCAAAATAATAACTAAACGGGAACCAAAAACTAACGTTAGGGGAACGTTCTGTGTTTGTTGAGGGTTTACTGATAAACGTCCGGAGCCTTGGCATTTAGAGGAATATGTAAATATGTTATGTGTGTTTTCCTCTCAATTACAGAATACACGCAAACCAAGCATGACAGCGGTGAAAAACAAGCGGTTAAGAAAGCAGCTAGCTCAGGACTGGTTTGATAAGGTATTATAAGTGAGGATGTGAATAAAAAAACAAAACAACTTATCGCTTACCTTTATTTTGTCTCTATTTGACTTACAAAAGCAGATGTTAGGCAGAATGCATCACTTCTTCATACGGTTAATTAATGGTTAATGAGATTTCCTACTCACATGATCCTCCTTTCCACTATCCGTAAATGATCCCTGACTATTGTTTTTCTTTCTTTTCCGATTGACTACTTTCCACCATTCACTCCCTCCTGCACTCCCGCTACACGATTCGTCTTCCATTTCCGGATCACTACCAGAGCTACCGTCATTTCCTGCCATCAGTGCTCCAGTCACAGTCCAGTGTTCTCCTTCTCTGGACTGAAGACCTCGTGCTGTTTCTACTTCTTCTATGGATTGTGTTATTAGCAGTGAGCAAAGACACTTAACTACCGCCACCTGCTGGACTGGAGGATGGAGCTTCGATGCACAGGGAACAGAGCAGAAAGAAAGAGAGCTGGGTTCCTCATTCACATACACATATGTTGTTTGTACTTTTGTCTGTTTTTATTTTCTTATGTTTTCTTATCAATTTTCACTTATTGATTATGACTGTAGCCAGTGTTGTTGCTGTAGTAAATTTGCGGGTGTTTGATTTTAATTTCCAACCCATTTTGAGTTAAAAACACAAACAAAGCCCAGACTTTTAGTAACAGTTAACCCCAAGCTTGCGGCTATTAACTATTGAAAGGCTGGACTTATGCACTGCAAGTTGCCCTCGTGAAAAAATTTTCTTTAAAAGTGACGAGAGAATTCATATATGGTTTGTATGCAATGCAAAAAACACTGACAATTAATAAAAACAAATTTAATTTTGTGGCAGCATATGATTTGGTAAAGGGATATCTTTATTAAATATAAAATGTGAAGTGTGTATAAATGTGAACTGTAAGAATACTGGAAATTCTGTATATAAGCTGCAAACCAAGTACACAGAAATGGCAAAGTAACTTTATCCATGAGAGTTTCTAAAGGTGAACAAGCATTAAACATTTATTAAGTCTGAACACACTTTTGTCCCGAGCGATGCACAGAATGCACTGAAGGCAGACACACATTCAGCTCACTTGGGAATCAAACTCATGAGTTTGGCACCGACGGTCTCGTGATCTACCTGAGACTAAATCACCTCAATCTTACCGATCTCATTGCTCTTCAGTGCTCCACTACGACTGATAGAAAGGCACAGGTCACTTTAAAATGAACATTTGTCACAATCTAGTGTTACAATGTTACTCCAAACGTCCTTCTAGCACGGAAAACAAAAGGGGTTTTGGAAAGCAAATCTTCACTTTCTGTATGTTCTTGTCCTTTTTAAAGCTCGACAGTCAGAATAAATAATAGCTATGTGACACATGTGAGAGGGGTGATGATGATGATGACACTGTGTCTTTTGCACCACTAATATCCTAATGATTTTTGGCATAAAAGAAAAATGTATAATTGTGACCCATACAGTGTATTGTTGGCTATTGCTACAAATATCCCCCAGCGACTCAACACTGCTTTTGTGCTGCAGGGTCACAATTATAATAATAGATACAGTAACTGCCTGATGTTTTATTTTTAATACAATTCTTCGAGGTGATACCAGACTGACTTTGTCAGCAGATACACCTCTCTCAATAAATATCACCGTATGCACTTTAAATACCTGTACGATGCACTTAACCCTAAAACGGACAAAACTATAAATAGACATCAGAAAATAAATGTATTGCTATTTCCCATCTTATAGGGACTCAGATAATACAATTCTTATTTTTGAATTTAATGTTTGTATCCCCAGAATACGTCGCTTCTGAAAACAGAACACGTGTTTATCAATGCTTCTAAAAACATTCCTGAACGCTTTGGAAGACAGACCGAAGGTTGGTCTCGTTTTAAAGAAGACACAGCAGATTATTGCTGAAGTGAAAGCATTTCAAAAAAGAAAGTATACCGTTATAGAAGTTTAAGTTTGCAGTAAAGATAATGTAGCATACTAATTTGTTTATATTTTATATAAAATAAATATTTTATAAAATATGTTGCTATAAAATCAAAGCCATATGTCTAACCAAGCTATGTTCCGAATTTGAAGTTGATATCACAAAAAATGTGGCTCCTGTGAGATTTAGTTTGGGCACAATACCGAAAATAACCACTGGGTGACACCCAAACTCTTGAATTGTTCTGATGCTGTTTTCTGTCACAAATCAATCATTTTCTGTCACAATATCACTTCTATTTTAAAACCAAATCACCAAATATGGAACCTTGACTGTCAGACCTGTCCCAGGATATGCATTTGGTCAAGATTACAAAAAGATTTGATTTTCTGAAACACAAGTCACAAAATCTCAGTCTATATGTATGTTATTATATCTTGATTTACGCCCCTAAAAGAGCGACGTATCTCCTGAGACACAAACATTTAGAGACAGATTACAAAAATGTAAGCATTTAATTCATAAACTTTCAATGTAAACCTAATGAGCTAATGCTGAACGTGTGTGAATATGTGAACTAGATCAACTTTTCTCGGAGGGCGAGTAGATATTTTATAGCACTTTATCTATTTGTGTCAACAGATTTAAATTACAATACTTATTTTTAAAGGCCGTTTTCTCAAAATGAGTTTTTTCTCCTACACCGAGCCATAAATCTCGTCTTCAGTAGCACTTACACACACCGAACTTTACATTTTTATTCCTATAGTCTATAGCCTGAAGGTTTTAAATAATTCGTATATAATTTGCTTGATTATACACAACATCTCATGCCCCCAAAAATCGTGAAAATATATTGTTTTCTGTCTGTTCTAAGTATTTTCTGAATTATGGAGTGACAAAAATGAGATCCCCAAAATTCCCTCTGTAAAAACATTTGACTCTAATATGACAAAAAAATTAATTTTGAAACGGACTTCATCCAGTGTTCAGATTTTTGTACTAAAAAAAAAAGAAGCTTATTTATTCAGCTTTCAAAAATGTACTCTTATGACTGGTTTTGTGTTCCAGGGTCACAAATGGTATAATATTACATATATGATTTATATAACTGAGTAGCTTCAGCAATAACCATAAGTTGACAAAATTGGGGACCGACCTCTGTGTTCCTCGGGGTCATCCTTTAATATCTTGAATGGTTCTGGATCGCTCGCGTCCCCAATCAGCACTCTGACAAACTCCATGCTAGATTATTATAGTTATTCCTGCTTTATATAATCCCAGATCATGAGGGACACGCTTCACTGAAGGTCCAGATCTCTGCTGAGATACGAGGTCCAGAGCTGCCAAGTCATTTAAACAATGAACAAATCAGTATGTTTTCTGCAAAATCACGGCAATGCAATGCGTTTTAACTGTTAAACATCTGCTTTTGTCTTTTTATTGGAAATGCATTGTAATTAAAAGGATAAACGCTGGGTTGCACAGATATTTAACTGTTTTGAAATTAATGTCACAATGCAAAAACTGTTAATTAAAAACAATTCTAATTAATCTTCCCGCACTGATCGCAGGAGAACGGCTTCTCTCCCGTGTGGATCCGGATGTGATCCGTGAGGTTGGCTTTATGCGTGAACCTCTTCCCGCAGTGCTGACACGCGAACCGTCTCTCTCCCGAGTGAATCCTCATGTGATCCTTAAGGTTTCCTTTATGCGTGAAGCTCTTCCCGCAGTGAAGGCACGCGTAAGGCTTCTCTCCGGTGTGAGTCCTTATGTGATCGTCAAGGTGTCCTCTCTGTCTAAAACTCTTTCCGCAGTGAGAACAGATGAGCGCTGTTTTCTGCGTGCTTTTATTTTCAGTCTGTGTGCGACTGGAGGATTTCTCACTGGTTATGACTGCACGAGGCTCCTCGAACGGATGTTTCTCCTCTACTTCATTCAGCTCTTGACTTTCCTCCTTCACCTCCACCAGGTCTGAAATGAACACAAAAGATCTAAAACAGCAAGCAATGCAGCAACGATGCACTTTTGTCTGCTTTTTTTATTTATCTCGAAACCTTCAGGTGCATCTCAATTGACGTACTTATGCACTATTCAATACCGTTTTGTAGTATAAATAGTGCATGCAGTGTTTCAATTTTACAAGAAAATATGCACTTTAAATACCTGTACGATGCACTTAACCCTAAAACGGACAAAACTATAAATAGACATCAGAAAATAAATGTATTGCTATTTCCCATCTTATAGGGACTCAGATAATACAATTCTTATTTTTGAATTTAATGTTTGTATCCCCAGAATACGTCGCTTCTGAAAACAGAACACGTGTTTATCAATGCTTCTAAAAACATTCCTGAACGCTTTGGAAGACAGACCGAAGGTTGGTCTCTTTTTAAAGAAGACACAGCAGATTATTGCTGAAGTGAAAGCATTTCAAAAAAGAAAGTATCCCGTTATAGAAGTTTAAGTTTGCAGTAAAGATAATGTAGCATACTAATTTGTTTATATTTTATATAAAATAAATATTTTATAAAATATGTTGCTATAAAATCAAAGCCATATGTCTAACCAAGCTATGTTCCGAATTTGAAGTTGATATCACAAAAAATGTGGCTCCTGTGAGATTTAGTTTGGGCACAATACCGAAAATAACCACTGGGTGACACCCAAACTCTTGAATTGTTCTGATGCTGTTTTCTGTCACAAATCAATCATTTTCTGTCACAATATCACTTCTATTTTAAAACCAAATCACCAAATATGGAACCTTGACTGTCAGACCTGTCCCAGGATATGCATTTGGTCAAGATTACAAAAAGATTTGATTTTCTGAAACACAAGTCACAAAATCTCAGTCTATATGTATGTTATTATATCTTGATTTACGCCCCTAAAAGAGCGACGTATCTCCTGAGACACAAACATTTAGAGACAGATTACAAAAATGTAAGCATTTAATTCATAAACTTTCAATGTAAACCTAATGAGCTAATGCTGAACGTGTGTGAATATGTGAACTAGATCAACTTTTCTCGGAGGGCGAGTAGATATTTTATAGCACTTTATCTATGTGTGTCAACAGATTTAAATTACAACTTATTTTTAAAGGCCGTTTTCTCAAAATGAGTTTTTTCTCCTACACCGAGCCATAAATCTCGTCTTCAGTAGCACTTACACACACCGAACTTTACATTTTTATTCCTATAGTCTATAGCCTGAAGGTTTTAAATAATTCGTATATAATTTGCTTGATTATACACAACATCTCATGCCCCCAAAAATCGTGAAAATATATTGTTTTCTGTCTGTTCTAAGTATTTTCTGAATTATGGAGTGACAAAAATGAGATCCCCAAAATTCCCTCTGTAAAAACATTTGACTCTAATATGACAAAAAAATTAATTTTGAAACGGACTTCATCCAGTGTTCAGATTTTTGTACTAAAAAAAAAAGAAGTTCAGCTTTTCAGCTTTCAAAAATGTACTCTTATGACTGGTTTTGTGTTCCAGGGTCACAAATGGTATAATATTACATAATATAACTGATCGGGGTCATCCTTTAATATCTTGAATGGTTCTGGATCGCTCGTGTCCCCAATCAGCACTCTGACAAACTCCATGCTAGATTATTATAGTTATTCCTGCTTTATATAATCCCAGATCATGAGGGACACGCTTCACTGAAGGTCCAGATCTCTGCTGAGATACGAGGTCCAGAGCTGCCAAGTCATTTAAACAATGAACAAATCAGTATGTTTTCTGCAAAATCACGGCAATGCAATGCGTTTTAACTGTTAAACATCTGCTTTTGTCTTTTTATTGGAAATGCATTGTAATTAAAAGGATAAACGCTGGGTTGCACAGATATTTAACTGTTTTGAAATTAATGTCACAATGCAAAAACTGTTAATGAAAAACAAATTCTATTAAAAAAACGGTTCTAAAAACAGTTTTTTGAAAACAACAGAATTGAATATTTCTTTCTTTCTTTCATTATGGGGTACATTATGATCTGTAGAAAGCAAATTGCAATTCAATCATTTACTTGCACAGTTTATCTCACTTTAAAACAAGAACGGCTACAAAGCACACTAATTAATCAAGACATCACTAGCTTTAATGCAGCGACACGGGGATAGAAAGTAATCATCTCATGGACAGTTAACTTGGCAATAAACATGTAAAACACAACACACACACACACTCACTCTCACACACACACACACACACACACACTCTCTCTCACACACACTCACACACTCACTCACTC